CAGATGTTTCTGTTGGTTTCCGGCCGCCATGTTGGTGCCCATACGGATGGGCACCAGAATGGCGTCTCCATACGAATCTCTATAAATTTGGGTAAAAAATTTCTCCGCATATCTCGCAAAAGAAACATTGCTATGACCAGAATTTTGGCGAGAGTCTTTGTATATTTACCTTCTTTCATTTTCCAGATTCTGGACTTTATCTATTGACCGGTATTGATTTTTATTTTGATCTATTTTGAATTGCGTGACACTGAAAACCACCAATTGGTTTTAATTGGAAGATTGGATGACAAAGTAGAGCGATTTTTGATTGGATGAAAAGGAGCGCGAACTTTGTAGCCAATCGCTTTCGTGGTAATTGAAAACCAAAGCAAATGGAATTACTTTGAACACTCAAGTGAAAACTACCCAAGACACACTTTTCTTTCATCAGCCATGATAAACGCATTAGTAGCAAGGCTGTGATGAAAAACTAGATAGGGACTGGCAAACCAATTTTGACTGGAGATATGCGCGGAGTGACAAAATAGGAATCCATGGTGCGGTGGGTTAATCTCTGTGGTAATGAACTCGTATAAATGTTTCTTTGCCGTTTTGCTACAAAATAAAGCGGCCATGTGTCTGTGATGTTTATTATGCTCCATATGGTACTTGGACGGAACCCAAGTGTGTGACTATTCAAATGAAAGCTATTGAACAGTAGTCTCATCCGTGGCTTATTTGCTTTTAGAAGGATACTTGTTTTGCTTTTTTTTTCTTCATCTAACGTTGCTTTATATTTTTTTAATTTTACAACGCCCTAGTGGAAACGAAGATCAGGAAATCACAGCAACAAACCTACGAGTTTGGCGATGGTGACGATGATTATCTTCTCCATCTTGAGGACATTTTAAGGCGCATACACGCAGTGTTTTACGAAACGATGGACGTCATTAGATCAAAGACTCCTGAGGAAGCCAAAAACATTCCGAGCACCGTCAAATACTGTTCCCCTGGAACAACAACACCCGACGCGAAGGTGATAGTCACCGAACTACGTCGTGACGTATTGCGCGGTGCAAACGTAGTTTTTACTGGCGTTATACCCACTTCTGCGAAGCAGGAAGATAGTCAACCGTGGCGCATCGCTCGCGGCCTGGGCGCTAAAGTCAGCAACGGGATTGTTACACCCAAAGACACGAAATGCAACAGTGACGTCACCACTCACGTGATTGCAGGCAGGCTAGGCACGGAGAAATCGTACCGGGCGGTAAAATCTCGGGGAATTAAACTCGTCAATCCCGGGTGGCTATTCTGTTGTCATGAACGCTGGGAGTGGGTGGACGAGCGTTTGTTTCCTGTAGAAGGGTTAGAGAAGTACAGGCAGCAGATTCGGGATCAAGGTACACCTCGCGGGACTCCTCGCGGGACACCTGGCCTAAGTTTAGAGCCAACTGCAGTGGAAAACACTTTGGACGTGGATGTTGTCGACAAAGAAGGCGTGATAACTAAATCCAGGTCTGATTCGGCGAGTAGTGCTGATATTCTTCTGTCTACCTTAAACCCTTTATTATCATTTTCACCGTCCGAAGTGGAGGCTATGGACAAGGAGGTCGAGGACCTCATGAATGCTAGCGACGAAGAGAGCGATTTAATAGGAAGTGTGTCGGACTCGAGTAGTTCATCGGACTCTGGATCAACTAGTAAACGAAAGCGAGAGGAAGAACGAGACTCTCAGGAAGATGAGAACAATGATTGGCTAAACAAGAAAAGAAAGATCGACGACGACGAAAAAGGCGAGGAAAAAGAAGAAGAAGAAGAGGAGGAGGAACAAGATTCGAGCAGCTCAGACTCTGACGACTATACTCACCGTTCCACACCTAGTGATGACGATGACGATATGGCGGCCATGTTGGATGCAGAGTTGTCTCATTCATGAGTCAGTGACGTTTTCGTTGTGTTATAAAGTGTTATTGTCCCGGTAAAATCAATACACTGCCAAGCAAAGAGGTTACGAGAATTCAGGAAATGGTCATAAGTGGATTATGGTGTGGAAATTGGGACCAAATGTTTTCAGCTCGCAGTGTTATCGCTGTGTAATTTCTCCCCGTAATATCGTGAAACCCAGCAAAGATGTTAGGAGAATTTAGGGCATGGTCACCAATGAGAAATTATGTCGGAATCTGAAGTGAGCGCTATACGTGACAAGAGCTCTGAAGAAGGTTTACGGAAGGGGTGAAATGTTGCACGTATGGTAAAATACTCTAAGCTTTCAGCTCTAATTGCTATCACTGCGTAGTTTCTCCCCGTAATATCGTGAAACTCAGCAAAGAGGTTATGAGAATTTAGGACATGATCATCAAGGAGAAATAATGTCGGAATCTGAAGTAAGCACTTTACGTAACAAGAGCTCTAAAGAAGGTTCACAGAAGGGGTGAAAGGCTGCACGCATGGTAAGGTGTTGTGTGCCACTAAGCACGAAGGCAAATGAATCATGCTGGCGTACTTGAAAAGGGCGTGGTCTTGCTATTTTTGCTAATTCCTGTCTATGCTGCGATCCTGAAAATAACAATGAAATATAAATTTACTGAAGAAATGTCACCCCGCTTTTAACAAACAAATCAATGAGCATTGTCATTGGCAGATTAAGGTTGCAGAAAATAGTTTTAAAGTAGATGGGCAAAAATTACTATAAAATCGCGTGACCTAGCACCTAACCCTTTTTGAGTGGCTGACATTGCCAGCTCAGAGAAACTACATGCACCTTGTCAATTCAGTGCTCATTGATTACTAGACACAGAAGAAATTAAACGGTCCATTGCATTCATCCATTCTACGTGCAACGACGCATTCGTCACCTCCGCATGCCAAATGAAATGTTCTCATTTCTTACTGTTCCTTGCACAAACTTACGGGAAAGTAGAGATACCAAACACTTTGTAGCTTCCTTCAAGATCCACAAACCAAAACCCCTTGTAGGTTTTACCGAGATGTCTTGCGTGACATTTGAAATGGCGTGACAACGTGTGCTCATACACAATCCTATTAAAAAAAAATGTTTATTTAAATCCTGCTAAGGTTAATGTATAATCGTTTGTGCAAACAAATAGTGAAATACCCTGATCGTGCATGTCTGTTAACAGATAACTACAAAGAGATTTTAAAAGTTGTTTTGTCTTTGCTCATTGTAAGGGCGCTGTCATTACAAGCCAAGAACTTCAGATTTCGCATCACTTATGCTAAGGTCACGCACGTTTGCAGCTGGTCTGTAGTTAGATATAGCCACTTGTCATTAACTTCGTTAATTTTATGAATAAAACTTCACTCTAATATGTTGTTATGTGGGCGCTGATTTTCTTGTGCCTGACAAACGTCTATCTCTTGGTATTTCGATACAGATTTTTAACTCGCAGCTTTTATCGTTCGCTTTGAAACGACATGTAAACAAACATATTTTGGACGAAGCATTCTTAACCGTAAAAGGCAAAAAGCAACTTCGGTGACCTACCGTATCTCTGAGCATCTCCATTGGTTACGAGCGGGCTTTCATTTACCTTCACTTTGTCAAGCATGACGGGAGAAAGAAGTGAGACCAAAATATACTTCTTTTTACCGTCTTAATCGATTGCATAAGAGAACAGAGCAACTGCTAGTAACCATAAAAGAGTTACTCGCAGTTCTAATTTCGGGCCAATATTACGGAGTCTGCATTTTGAAATGACAGGTAGTGTAATCAAACGTTTTTTCTGAAAATTCATAACCGTAAAAGGTAATTTAGGCGGCACATGCGACTCGCGAGATTCTTTCCGATCCAACACAATGCCAGGCATTTTTAGGCGTACAATGTAGCTGCAATGATATCATGATTTAATGTAGAATTTTTAATATGAAATCTGCGATTCCCCTGTTACTCTGACGCTCTTTGGGCTCGTTCGTGACGGAGAAAAGATTGCGTGACAAGCCAAAAGAACGTCTGCATTCTGTTCTGCAATTCTACACTTTTTTCACGTTTCCTAAACAAGTAAAATAAAACTTGAAGAATTTAAAGCCTAATCGTAGGTTCTGAACCACTGTTGAACCATTACACTTAGCCTGTTTCAGTCGTGAAGCTACCTGAAAGCCTGGAGGAGTACTCCCTCATATGGGCTATAAAGGGTATGTGCAGCCCCTGATTTTTGAGCGGTTTTCGTCTAAAAGGGGCACAGATTTTCACCATTTTGGTGTGAAATAGGGCATGTTTTCACTTTGGCTTGGCATTGGATACTTTGTTTACAAGCGACTATTTTTTTCGCATCAGCATTAGCAAATTTGTAACCCTTGTCAAATCTCTAAATGGAATCCAGTTCTACTAATTTTAATGAGGCCTGAAATGTGGTATCGTTTTTTGCCTGTATTACGCTTAAACGTACTCCAGTCCAATCGATTTGAAATACAAAGCTAATACAAGGTAACGCTCTAGAGCAACTTCCGTAACCAATATTTCGACAAGTAGAAGAACTAGTCTTGTACGGGGCCAAACTAATTTATTCCGTGTGGTGATCAAAGTCAGGCAGTAAAAGGGGAGAGAATAAACTTATTTTAAAACTGATTGTCATCCTAATGAAGTAAAGATAAAACAGTCAATGCTGCTGTTTATGGACGAAAACAAACTGCAGGAGGTGAGAAATGGAAGGGATGTGATGATAAAGAGATCTAATTGGGTACAACTGATTTCATTGTTCGACACACGCGAGAGACCGACATTCTCGTTAATAACGATGAGGCGTGACGTTCTTTACATGAGATTACCTTTTAGTTATCTTAATGATCTTAACACATATTCGCCTTTTATTCTTAAAATTTGGCAATCGCGTTCCCTAACAGCAGAAACCCCAAAGATAATAGAAAGACGTGGACGAGATTTTTTTATAGTCAGTCCCTGAAAAATTAAAATACGTAGAACGAAACAATAATTAAATCTTAATTTCTGAAAATCAAAGGTTTACAAATTGATAACTGGATATTTCTCTTGTATCTTCAAGCACAACTGGGAGCAAAGCGTGAAAATTTCGAAGTCTCAATGTCGGTTGCTGAGAGTGTAATTAATACGGAAGCCAATGAAAATAACACGAAGCGAACAAAATGGCTTTCCCAACGAAACGTGCCAAACTTCACTGAACTACTGATTTTTATCCAGATTAATGGAGTATATCCAATTGGCTGTAAGAAGCACACAATCAGAATGCAAAGAATCTTAAGTACCACAGGGTTAGGAAAAGATTGATGAATTAAACTTGCCAAGTTTACATTGTTCGCGTCTTTCTGCTTTCTGCCTACGTAATTATGAAGAATCTTTAGGCCGAAAAAAATGCTTTACATGTGATATATTACTCTTCTAGAGACTTGTCTACACAAACTTCTCTCCTAAAAGCAAATATACATAAAAGTTTACCAACCCAGCAATATTGTGAATTATTTTGACAAGAAATCTTCCCTATCTGCAGTGCCCCAATTATATTGAATATTTTAATATTTTTTCTATAAATTTAATTGATTTATAGGGCACATTTATGGAATGACCCGTTCCCAAACATATTGCTCGTTTCGTCTCGCGCTGACGACAGGGCTTTAGCTCTGCTACTGTTTTTTTGCTATTGTGTTACTTAATTAAACATTTCAGCGATATTGCTTTGTTATTTTGAATCAAACCGTAGAAACAAAACGGGAAAAAAGGAAATAGTGGGCCTTGAGACACAATCTGACAGTTCCTGATAAAGAGACTGATACAAGTCTTTTATAATATTCAAAAGCTGAACCCAAAATGAAAGCATCTAAATAAAGCTCTGACTCTTGTTGACGGGCAAGTTTATAACAATTTATAAATGTGAAAAGACTGGGTCATGCTGACGATGTTCTATATAATATATTTTCCGGCGCAGAACAATTCATAGGGAGTGAGTGGGATGGTTGACATCTTTTCTGATAAACGTGACAGCGAGTGAGAATCTTTAGAAATTAATTTCAATCCTGGTTTCCGTTCAAAACTTTTTAATCAGCTATTTAAGTAAATAGGTTAGTCAAGTTGTTGAGGAAAGGCTTATAAAGGTAATACTGAAATTGTTAATTCATACTAATTTTCTACGGTAGCACGCTGATTTTATTCCAAGGAAGTACGCGGGCTCAGCATGACTGAACGGCTGATTGGTCGAAATAATGACATGTGCATAATTATTACAAAACCGTACTTGCCTTGACTACTGGTGGGAGGAAGGAAGCGAAGACGGCTGAAGTGAATACTACCTGTAAAAGAATTGGAAGAAAAAGCCAGCGTTTTTCAAGGAATCAATGTTTTGTTCACTGATGATGGATCCCAGAATTGGCTGGATTCAACCAGAGCAAAAGGGTCCAGCTTGTGATAAATGGAGCAACGTGTTGGAGGATGTCACCTCACCAACGGCGAATTTGGTCGAAAATCTTCGTGGAGGGGAATTCATCCCTTTAAATCGCAAAAATACTTTAAACGAAGTAGTGGAGAGTACCGTACTGAATAACATGATAAATTCGGATAAGAATCATGCCAGTAAGAAGAAAAGGTTTGAGAATCAAACCCCATGGCGGTCCAAGGATAAAAGCTACCCAGACGGGCCAGTTGGGTAAGTTTAGTGAGAGTATTGATTATTGTGGAAACGCGACAACCCTCAAGCGTTAAAGCTAATCGCTTCTTCTTTCGTTTGTTAAGGCTTCACGAGGAAATATTGGACTTCTACAATTTTATGAAACCACGAACGGCTGAACATGCTATGCGACAAGAAGTGATAGCGAGGGTTCAAGAAGTCATTTTACGACTCTGGCCTACAGCTGAAGTACGTACGAGGAGAAACTATACCAAGGGCTTTTTCTTTGAATTCTTATAATAGTTCAAAAGAAATTATTTAAACATAAGCTGAAGAGTCAAGAAAGTAACGACTTATTATTCCTTGTATTACATTTCAGGTGGAAGTGTACGGAAGCTTTCGGACGGGGCTCTATCTACCAACCAGGTGAGAGTAGTCGAGTTCTCTTGCGAAGACAGACCAAGTCGTTTGTATGCATTGACAAAAGGTGTTTGATTGTATTTGTGCCGTTAGTGTTTCGTACTTTATTTTATTTCGCTTGGCTGGATCTTGTTGTCGTTGGGTTAACAATCTAACGCAAACGATTTGTGGTGTTTTATGGGCTAAAAGTATTTAGAACAAAAGTTGAACATGTACTTTTCACTTCAATGAATCGTTTTGTGGTGATCAAAGTAACGAATAAGGGTGTACACATAATGCAACCCGAGACCGAGGGAGCAGTCGTTCTATTTTGAACGTAAGCACCCTCGAATAGTCTTTGTGTCACACTATTCAATGGCACCTTGTTTTTGTTCATTGAATTTCATTTCTGCCCTCAGCGACATAGATATTGTAGTGTTTGGAAACTGGGAGAGACCACCATTATGGACGCTGGAACAAGCGCTCACTGCAAACAAGATCGCAGAAGTCTCCTCGATCAAGGTCTTGGACAAAGCATCGGTAAGAAAAAAATGACTCGAGTCTTTATTTTATATTCATCTCAGGCTGTTGTGTGTTCTTGTATGCGATTAGAATACGTTAATCTTCTAAAATGTACTTTGGTAAAAAGCTTCATGTTTGTCTTTTAAAATTCTCTACATCCTCTCTCTTCACTGCACTAAGAGGCAGACGTTTTAAAGCTTTTTACTGCTTATTTCACAGCGGACAGCTGTTTGCATTTAACGGGTAGCGTGACAGAAATAATTTTCTTAATAAAGATGTGAAATAGAGGAAGTGTTAGCACTCAAAACAGTCATAAAACTGTGGACATTGGGCGCGAAAATACTTGTCGAATGATTGCTTTATTGATAACTACACACTAACTCATTCTCGGTATGCTAATTTATTGCGGGTTCGTCCCTCAGCGAAATTTGAATATATTTTTGTCGCTGTATTTGTCAGACGATGTGCCCTTTGGCATTTCTCAGAAACTAAAACTATAATAGGTTTTGACTGCAAAATGTCTGATTGCTTTTCATTTCCTGTCTCCTTAAAAGAGGAATAACTGTCTATGAGAAGAGAAGGAATACTAGACTGCGTTTAATGTTAGCTGCATAGCTTCCATCATACGCGTAAGCAAACAAATACAAGACGCAATAATTTGTTTTTAAATCCTGAATACGTCTTTTGGTTTAAGTGGACTGTATTCACATCTCAAGGTAGGTGTTGGTTTGTTTGAATGTCTTGTGACCAAGTCATGTTAATGTGACAAGCATGAAAATAATGTAAAGGAGCCTAATAAAAACTTCCCATAGCCAGGTTATAAGACTGTTGTAATGAGAGCCAAACGTAGGTCATGTTTAACATAACAAAACCTACAAAGTGGAGGATAAAAGCCACCAAACCTTCAAATGGCATTTAAATTTCATTTTCAAGTGTTTCTTGTGGAGTTTCAATAATCTTGAGGAGGCAAAGGAACACAGTGACAACTTTTTTGGAATGAGACTATTCCAGTTGCAGTCATGTTTCAAAAAGTGTTTGTTGAACCATTAACTGTTATTGTTAAACCTCCCAACTCAAATACGTTTTCTGATTGGAGGAGAACGTGTCATGGGTCAAAATTCACTAACTTCCTAGGGCAAACAAAACTCACTAACTCCCTAGGGAAGCAACAACTTGAACTTTCAACTTGCATGTGATCAGGACGTGCTCTTTGAAACCGCAGCAAATCTGTGAACCAGCTGGCATCAAGCAAACAGTTTCTTCGCAGTTTTTTCTATTTTTGAGTTGTGAGGTATAACAAAACACTAAATGACTGGCCCCAAGGGAAACAGTGAGTTTTGTTTCCCTTTGACCTCAATGTTCCACCTAGCCTCGCCTCGTGGAACATTGAGGGTCTTGGGAAACAAAACTCACTATTTCGCTTGGGGCCAGTCATCAAGGTCAAGAAAATTCTTTGCCATCATTGGGATTTGAACACACCACCTCTGGATTAGACCATTGTTGATATGTTGACCTAACTACGAGGGCAGGTGGGAGCAGATCATTAGTAAGCTACTCTCTATTTGAAATAGCACCCTTTATTGTATGACTGGAAAATTACTTCAGTGTTACTGGTTGAGAGTAGGTTATTTTATCTCTAATTATTAGTTTGCACTGCAGTGAAAGTGAATGTTATTGTACTTAATTTTCTTAGTCACAAATAGTAAATGAGTACCCGTATCAAAGCTTGGGCAATGAAGGATGGGTTTCAGATTTACACTACTCATGATAACTTATGTAATTTTGAGAGAATTGTCCAATATCACTCATAACTTGTAAATGCTGAAAATTTAATTCATATGATTACCTCTGCTAATGTCTACCTTGCCATGAATCACCTCTGTATTGACCCATGACCTGCTACCTCTGCTGACCTCGCAGTCCAGTTGGTAGAGTAATGATGATTTAATCCACAAGTCATTGGTTCAAATCCCACCAAGGTCAAATATGTTTTTTTACTTCCTTTGGTACTCCACATGACCTTTTTAAGGCTAATGCTTTATTACTCTATTATCTATTTCCCACCTTCTAATATCCATGCAATGTAGCTCAGATTTGCTTTCACAATAAATATTGTACTCTTACTATATGACGGTTTTCCTGTACTTCTCCTCCCAGCATTTTGGTGCACTTCCTACTGTCACCAATAAAATATGAAGGCGTACCCCAATTCTATTTTGATAGAAAATATACTTATACATTGGGTAACATTAACCCCTAATTTCAAATTAATGGTGTTCAAAAGATATAAATTGTTTTGTTCCAGTGGAAAATTCATTCTTTGTAAAAAGCACCAACTGTGGTACCGGTAGCTATGGTTATTTTCTTCATTACTAAAATGTTGAAGTTTTAGTATTCACTATTGTTGTTATGAAACACCTGCACTTAAAAGACATTTGTCGTGTTTTCCCTTTACACAGGTTCCAATAATAAAACTCACAGACCAAAAAACTAACGTCAAAGTGGATATCAGCTTTAATGTTCCAGCGGGCTTAAAAGCTGCAGAATTTGTCAAGGTAATAGTCTATTCAGATGCTTTCCTGGTATGTATTTAAAGCATGTCGATGATTTACATGTGCATATATGCTACCAGATAGTAGGTACAGGTGTGAATAAACTTGTGTGAATAATTTTATCATGTTTAGGAACAATAAATTTCAGTTGATGTAAATTTATGAAAATGTGTGACATAGTGTTGTGGTTTGCCCTTAGTGATTAGCATTGCCATTATTTCTTAAAAGAAAAAAAGACATTAGTCATACAGTTGAAATTCGTTAGTTTGGCATAAAATAGTAGCTTTTATTACACAATCTTTATTGCTCTATTTTTTTTATCATCACCTTTCCATAATTATTGTGGAACAGTATTGTCTGACATAAACAGAATTTTCAATATTTATTTTAAGTTAAGTGGCTGAGGTGTTATAATATTCATAGATCGTATACCAGTGTTGTTTCTTTGTTGAAAAATGATAAGCGGCGTTACTTAATCTGTTACCTGTAACCTACATGTACATTCTAATTTTTAATCACAAATTAAACATAGTCATGGAACTTACTGTACCGCTTGCAAAGGAAAGAGTGCTCAACTTATTTTGACATCTCTAAGTTAGATAATCAGACAATCATTTTTGATTTGCATGAGAGTCCATATTAAAACTTGGGCACAAATAGTCAAACTGCTATTTTTAAGAGGAAAACCTTTGCTACTTTTTGTTTTAACTGTTACTGAATTGTGAGTTAGGGCAGCATACAGTGTTGCAGTTCAGTTTTTCTTTGTTTTGGGGCGAAAGAGATTTCATTTACATGTTCCTTTGTCTCATATTCATTGCGGCAATAGGAAACAAAGGAAAAAAATTAAACTGAAAGATCTCTTCCAAAGCAAAATTTAAACCTTGACATGCACTCCATAAGTCTGAGGAATTGGACAATTTGGTAGAAACTTTAGAATTCACTGTCCATGACTTAAATTGTTATTTGCAACAGTGGGCAAAATGAAAAATATATGTAATTATATTGTTTGTCCTTATTTCAAATGTCAGGCAACTAAACCTGTGAAGTTGGTTGCCCTGGTGAGTCCTTGGTAGTCAGAAATAAAATATATTTGTTGGACTGGAATAGTTACTTAGACATAATATTTCAAATAAAAAAATAAGGTAGTTGTATTTGTGAATTACTTGGAAATAAACTCTACCATCAAAGTAGTTACAGTCTAACTCAGAAAACCGTGAACATTTAAAATGTATCTGGAATGTTTATTGTGTTATAAGCAATCATGAGCGACATCAGTCATGGAAAAAAAATTTAGATTTTTCATTTTTTGTATGTATATTTCCGAGTCTGAAACTTTGTCTTTGTGTCCTCTGTTTTCATAGGTAAATTATACATCTTATGTACAGTTATCAAAGACAGGGACACAGGCAATTTGATTAATATTCAATTAACTTTATGTCATCACAAACAATAAGCACATCACAAACAATCAACAACAGAACAGTCATAAAAGTCAGGTGTTGTTTTTGATTAATTTGTTTTCTGTGTTTGGTCAGATTGTCTCCCCCAGGCTCTTAGTTTTGATAAATAACTGTTGCCCAGTATTAAACCTTTTTGTTTTTTTTAGAGCAACTGCTAATTTTGATAATTATTGTTTGTTTTGAGTTGTTTTATTTATTGAGGAAACTAATCTGTGTTAACAGGAGCAGTATGATTGGTTCTCTGGGTATCTAAATTTTCCATAAGGTCTGTTGGGATGGTCAATCCAGCAACACTATAGATATGGTTTGTTTTTTTTCATTTTTCAGGACCAAATAGAACTTTTCCCTTGCTTGCCTCCTCTGGTGTTAGTTTTGAAACAGTTGCTCCTGACGCGAGAACTTAACGAAGTGTTCACTGGTGGTATTAGTTCATACAGCCTTATCCTGATGGCCATCAGCTTTCTACAGGTGTGGTTAATCATTATCTACTATCTCCCCACAGTAACAGTACTTTGTCAAGCAGAAATGTTGTGAGGAAAAAAAATTCTTAACTTGGAGATATTATTGATAAACTACCAAACTCCTGTTGCTTCCTTACAGAAAAAATCACGTTGTTCAGTCTTTATACATGTAGCTTACCGTACCTTTCTGGTATGCTTTTGATTTGCTTTAGTGGCATATCAGGCAATTTTGGTCAAGTGTGGCTATTTTTGACTTGAGGGCATTTCACTAAAGTATGAACAATGCACTTAAGACTAGTTTGATCAGCGGCTTATCAGGTGGCAATTAGGTTTGTATTGTATCTAAATTTGGCCGTAAATCCAGCCTTACCAGGTCAGAGACTTGATGCCACTTGATATCAAAACCTGATTGGCTAGATGCAATCTTGGGTGTAGCAATTCTCATTACTATCCAGCCATGTTTCTACATGGCATGTCATGCCAGTGGTGCTTTTGTACATTTTTAGTCACAACACATAAAGATTGTATGGATTATATCCAGTTGACTTGTACGACATGATGAATTTAGGGGCAAGACTGTGAATTGTATCAGATCCAAACATTAGCAAGCTGTGTTAAGAGTTATTTGAACATCTTTTTTGATTTTCTACAGCATCACCCTCGGAATGAGGGTAGAACAATGAAACACAACCTGGGGGTTCTTCTCATTGAGTTTTTTGAACTCTATGGGCGTAACTTTAACTACACAAATGTTGGCATCCGAGTAAAAGGTGGTGGGACATACTTCAGCAAGCAAGAGGTGGGTTCCAACTATTTATAGAGAGCATTTTGAATAAGAGCAGTTTTCATTTGAGTGTGAAAAAGTTATTGGTTTTGTACAAGTTTACTATGGGAGGGAGGTGCGGTGGGAGGCGCGGTGGCCTCATGGTTAGTGCGCTCGTCTCTGGATCGAGCAGTCCGGGTTCGAGCCCTGGCTGGGGACATTGTGTTGTGTTCTTGGGCAAGACACTTTACTTTCGCAGTGCCTCTCTCCACCCAGGTGTATAAATGGGTACCGGCGAACTTAATGCTGGGGGTAACCCTGCGATGGACTAGCATCCCATCCAGGGGGGAGT